ATTACTTAGTATTTGAAAAATACAAATGATTAATTTTCGGTCAAAAATAGTGTAAAATCATATGATTGGGCTATAATTGCAAAGTTGTTGCAATTGTAGCCAAACGATGCCAATTTGGCTAATTATGAAATAATTTGGTTTAAATAGGACCATAAATAATAAATTAAATCAAGAAATGCCTTTGAAATCGCTTGTGATGCAATTCTGTAATTATTTATTGGAAATAAAATGTTGGGTAAATTAATAAAATATAGAAAAATTATGCAAAAATTCCAATTGGTATTGATGCATGATTTTGAAGGTATATATGCAATTTTAAAAATATTTTGGGGAAAGTTGGGTATCAACAGTATATAGTGGTAAATCTCGGATGCAAATAAACAAGGAAAGAAATCAAGTAAACATGAACAAAAGAGCAAAATCTCGCATGCAAGTCAGTAAAGTAACCAGAAAGGAAAGAAATCAAACTCCAAACCCTAGTTAGGGTTTAAAACTCAAAATCGGCCAACTGGTATGAAGAATCAGGCTTTCCCTTGTGTATATGGACGAAATATTGTCTAAATCTCCAAGATTGGGTTGATGCCCGTCCGATATAGGGATGGTATTTGCCAAAATTGGGAAAATACGTAAGTAATACCATAAACGTGTGACCAGTAGCAAAGAAACCCAGATATGGTAAGCAAATAGTGGTAAAATCCCATTACAACGGGATTAGGAGAGGCAATTAAGGGAGAGGCGGCTAGGGTTCTTCAAAATAGGGAAGAGGAGAGTTGAGAGTGTTTTGGGGCGACCGGTTTTGGGGAAATGGTATTTACGATTTTTGGCAGGTGTAATTAAAAAGAGCGGATGGTTTATGGGCCGTTGATCTCTATGATCAATGGCCAAGATTAAAAGAAGAATGGCGTGGGTCATGGAGACGGGTCCCGACCAGGTTAGAATTTGAGGGCTCGTATGGTTTGGGCTGGGGACTTTGGTCAGGTGTTTGGGCTTGATTTTGGTCCAAAATTAACTAAATATTGGGCTATAAATTAAAATACACAAAAATTGCTAATAAAATAATTTATAAAACTATTTAATAGATAATAAAATATTAGTTGTGCAATAAAGTGATTGGAAATAATAACTTAACATTATAAAAAAATAAAAAAAAATGCTATTTTAACATAAATAATGTAATAAAAATGTAATTATGCATGAATATATGCTATTATTTCAAAATTATGAAATATCTTAAAAACCACGGGTTTCCGTCAATCTCTTCTTCAACATGAGCACAATAAGCAGGTTTTTTATGACTTGATATTAGATAGGATTGATGAAATTCTTATCTGGGTGTTGTATCATGGAAGACAAAGTGGCTAATGTGTCTACAAACTCATTCCAAATCCTTGGAACATGTTTGAACTCTATCTTTGTGAACCTCTTGATAAGCTCTTGTACGCAGTGCAAATATGGAAATATTTTGGTGTTCTTCATAGCCCATTCTCCTAGAACCCGGTGCACCAAAAGATCTGAATCTCCGATAACCAACAGCTCCTGAACGTTTATGTCAATGGCCAATATGAGTTCGAGGATGCAGGCCTCATATTCCGCCATATTGTTAGTGCATGGAAACCTGAGTTTTGCATATACCGGATAGTGTTGACCAGTTTCTGATACTAAGACAGCTCCGATACCTACTCCTTTGATATTTGCTGCTTCGGTGATATATTCTCCTACAAATGACACCTCCTCATCGGGAAAATACATTTTCAATGGTTCGTATTCTCCGCCTACGGGAATTTATACCAAGTGATCCGCCAATGCTTGCCCTTTGACTGCCTTACTAGTTACATAGACAATGTCAAACTCACTCAGTAATATTTGCCACTTTGCCAACTTACCCGTAGGCATGGGTTTCTGAAAGATGTATTTTAGCGGATCCATCCTTGATATGAGATATGTAGTGTATGCACAAAAATAATGCCTCAACTTTTGAGCTATCCATGTCAAAGCATAGCACGTGTTACAGCAAAGAGTACCCGGCTTCATAAGGCGTGAGCTTCTTGCTCAGATAATATATCCCCTGCTCCTTTCTTCTAGTTTCATCATGTTGTCCCAGAACATAACCAAAAGCCCCATCTAACACGAACAAATAAAGCAGCAAAGGCCTTCCCGGTTCTGGTGGGACCAGAACATGAGGATTAGATAGATACTCCTTGATTTTGTTGAAGGCCTTCTGAAATTCTTCAGTCCAACTTTTTGTAGCATCTTTCCTTAGCATTGTGAAGATGGGCTCACATATCACAATTGATTGCGCCATGAAGCGGCTAATGTAATTGAGGCACCCTACAAAACTCATCACATCTTTCTTATTCTTTAGAGGCGGAACGTTCTGGATAGATTTGACTTTTGATGCGGTGTTTACCTCGAAAAATGCGAGTAACAATTAAATTTGGTTTGTGGTTTTAACGATATGTGATTTAGTTCAATACGAATTAAGAATCAAGAAATATTAAGTAGAAATGAAATATAGAAGTGAATCAAACCAATGCGACTTGGCAGTAATGACCTCGAGTCGATGGCCTCGAGGTGGCTTAGGGCAGTAAGAACAATTAAGCTAAGGGACAATTCTCATGAATAGCAGACAAAAAGTAGCGAGTATACTCTTTGCTTAGTGAAAAAGGTGGTGTTACAAATGATTAGGATCCCTTTTATATAATAGGGGAATCCCAAATAAGGAATATTTCTATTTACAGTAGGGAATATTCTTATTATAGCTGTCTAACCACCTAGTACGGAGCTGTACGATCCTATTCTGGAATTTGTGCCATGATCTCAGGAATGTGTCAAGAATCTAGCTGGCTTTGGTAAAAATCCATAACGGTATTATTTCAAGGTCGAGCACACTTGGCTTCAGTATTCCTCGAACTTCTGCTTCCGGGCACTACGCCCTTTCCTCGAGCTCGAGCGTGGTCCACCTGCTTTGATCTTAACCCCTCCCGAACTTGGACCTAGGGCGGAACCTCGAGCTTTTGCACCGAGGGCATATGATTTTGATCGTATACAGATAGTCCCCACGTTTCTTAGAATAAGATGATAAGGAATGATTTTCACCTCGACTTCCCCGAGCTTCTCATGATGATGTCACGCCCGTGATGTAGGTGCTTGAAATGACCAAAAATGTCACGTCGGTGCTCTTCCCCAAAACAACAAATGCGTGGCAGTGTTGGTCAGCCACTTGCACCACCGGTCTGTCGCCGTTTTTCTATAAATAGGAGGCTATCCTGTTGAACAAAGAACCGTACTTTTTTCATCTTTTTCTTCTTTTGGTCTTCTCCCTTCTTTGCTTCATTCTTGAATCGTCTATTTCCATGGTTCGAACTTGCGAACACATGGTCATATGGCAGCGACTTTACAAGTTATGCCTAGGTTTCCCTTATCAAAGCTTTGATTCGAAACATTGTGAGGAGAACGCAGAATCCTTCTCGCATCAGAAAATGTGTGAACTTTACACTGCTGCTTATCTCTCTTAACTTTAACCTGGTGTAGCACTTCATTCATTTTGCTTTCCATGGAAATGAGGTGGCACTATCGTCTACTAGCTTTTGCATCCCATCCTGGAACAATGTCCCAAGGATAAACATTCTTGGATCATTGCTCATGCACCTTGCAACCCTTTTGATTTTTCTTGTGATTGAAGGTGAAGCTTCATCATCTGGTCTTCCCTTCTGGTCTTATTCTTTTCCTGCTCTTTTTCAATGGATTATGGCCCGAAATTTCAACAAAAAGTTCAATCTTTGCCGCTGGAAATATGGTTACATTTATCAAAGACTTTCCGCCTCTAATATCTTTTGAGTACGAAGATATACCCAACGGCCGAAACGGGGTCCCCGGGAAGGAGGCTCTCGAAGATGATGCTCTCGAGAACGTGGCCTTAGAAGTAGATTAGGTTTTTGGCTTTTGTTTTTGCTTCTTTGTTTCCGTGTAAGTACCCTTCGTGGGCGTTGTAGTTAAAATTTGTGACCATCTCTCAGAAATATATAAAAGGATACCCTTATCTTCCTTTTGGCTCGTGTTGAATTACGTTCTGTCTTTATATGTGAAAATTTGATTGTCTAATTCTTATGACTATTCCAAACATCGGACTCAGGACGTGATAAAACCTTAGGTTTTTAATCAACGAACATAATATCCCTTAAAGCTTTCGTTAATTCCTGAGCTGAGCTTAAACCGATTCGATGCGAACTCAGAACATCGGGAATCCTTAGTCCGAATTAATGGAGAGCGAGGTCTTAAATTCAAAATAGAGTTAGCCCTTAGGCTCCGTAGGCAATCATCGAGTGAGAACTTCCTCCGAACTTGGGTAGCCCTTGAGCTTTAGTAGTCAAGCGAGTACTTGCTCGAATAAAGTTAGCCTTTAGGCTTTTTGTAGTCCCCGAGTAAGAAATTTCTCAAACTCGGGCACCCCTTGGGTTTAGTATTTGAGTGAACACTTCGCTCGAACTAGAAATGGATTGATAATATGAATTGATCTTCGACGCCTTGGTTCTAATGCTAATCTCGTGACGTTAGTGACTGAAAAGGTTTTTTTCGTGCGATTTCCAAAGTCATTGATTGGAGGCGACTGACGGTCGGTCTTTTTGCTTCCAAAGTGTGGTTAAGTGACTTCTATAAATGAACAAACTCATAACCTTGCAAACTTTATCCTTATATTGTTCACAAAGTTTTATTGGCTCTTTCAATTTCTCTGAGCTTCTCCTTCTCTCCTATCTCACTACCAACACTTTCCATTTTCTTTGAATTTCCGTGTCGTGATGGCTAAAACCTCTAAACCGGTTCCCCAGAAAGAAAAAGCTTCTTCACCTCCCGACCGACAAAGAGCAAACCAGTAGTGCCCCCTCGAATTGAAGAGTCCATCCCTCCGCCATGTGAAATAACTTGCGATTTCAAAATCGAGAAACCTGTGTCGACACCAAGCCGATGCGAGTCCATGTCTCGATATTTTTGCTAGATAACCAATGACGAGCTTCCGCAAGCAAAGGAGGACTGCAAGTGGGATTCCTTCCTCCGAGGAGGACATCACCACGTACAAAGCGGGATACTTAAGCGTATACGCCTATACATTCACGCTGGGTCCTGTAATTCCGGCTCCGGGTCCCATAGATCCGGTTATTCTTGATTTTTGCCAACGATACCAAGTGATGCTTGGCTAGATCTACCCTTCATTTTGGCAAATCGTTTACGTGATCAGATTCTTTTCGAGCAAAGTCGAGGGGATGTCTTTCACCCTCGATCATCTGATAAGACTGTAAAGTCCCGAACTTTATTGAGGTGGCTTGATAAAATTGCAACGTCGATCCTTGAAATCTCTCTTCTATAGTATTGACTTGGACAAAGACCGAGGGTGGATGAGTCGGTTTGTCCGAGTCAAGACCTCTAACCTGATTCCTGCTTTCTCTTCTCAGCTTTACTCCTTTTCCTTGGTCTAACCCCTTTCCGATGGCACAACTACTGCTTGGTTTCCTGGCGGGGTCCCGGACCTCAAAGGCTAGGTCCTAAAACAGGCTTCCACTTCCTCTTATTTGGAGCGTTGCTGGCGAGATTTGGCCAAGGGTCGATGGGAGGGCAAACACCATCGTGAGTTCTCTTATTTGTTTTCTTGTACTTCTCCCCGCGGGATACTTATTTCGGTGTCATGTAGGTCTTGCGGACGCTGTTGCTATGCGGCCGGCTGTGGCTCGAAGGTCCAAGGCCGATACGACGGCTTTATCTCCGAAAATGGCCCAATTCCTTTGGGATCTGGAGGAAGAAGAAGATGACAACTGCCTGCTCATATCTCGTAAAAGAGGAAATCGCGGTGCCTCGAAGTCCGTCGAGCCGGTGATGGTTGATGTGGCTCATTCCCGAGCCGAAGAAATCTCCAAGGGGAGTTCAAACAAATTCCCCGAGCCATCGTGCAATAAAAAAGGAACCTCGTCTAGAAGGCCATTTGGAGGGCGAGGCCGAACGGCCCGATCCCGAGCCTCTTCAAATAAAAGAGAATGCCCCTAGTGGATCACTTGGGGTAATCAATGTGGATGGCTCACCGCCTGGCCCCGAGTTCTCCGAGGGGAAAATTCGAGATGCTCATAATATGAGGTCTTCTGAAGTGGAAGCGAGCCACGAAAGACATGCCATCTTTCGAGATTGCCTGGCAGGGCTCGAAGATGGCCTTGACCCAGATGCTCCCTTCATTTTTGATGAGGCTCGTCGACTCTTCAAACAAGTGAGTTTTCTGTTTTTTATGCTTGCGCCTTTGTTTTTGCTGTTCTGAATCCATCTTTTCTCCTTTTTTATGAAGGCTGTGGTACTCCATAAAAAGGCATTTTCCAAGTCTCGAACTAATCTTGCTCGATGTGAGGCTGAGCTTAAGAAGATTTCAAAGGAGAGGGACGATCTTAAGACCTTCTATGTCAAGAAAGAGATGGAGATCAGTGATCTACGAATTGAATTGATGCAGGCTTGCCAAGGACGAGTCAAGTATGTTGAGAAGGTAATATAGCCTCTGAGAGTCTGCTATGTACTTGTTTGTTTTGACGACTAATACTTTTAATTCCGCAGTTTTATCAGGAGGCCGACTTGGTGGCGCAACTTCGGGAGGAGCTTAAGATGAAAGAGGCCAAGACCTTGGGGTGCAGGCAAGGTATGGACAATCTAGCTTCTGAGAAGGAAACTCTTCGAGAGCAGCTGGATTCACTCGAACGTCAATTTCAGAGTGTGAAAGAGGAGATCCTAGCTCGTTACCGCAAAATCGGGGAGCTTAAAGCTAAATCTGCTGGCGAGTTGGCCAAGGCCATATCTGACACTGAGGCAATTATGTCTTCGTACCGAGGTGATGCTGAAGTAGCCAATGCTCAGGCCAAGGAGATTTCTTCTGCAGCAGAAGTTAAGTTATCGAGTGCACTTGATCATGCTAGACAACAATCCCGGAGGGTAACCCTCGAGGAGGTACGTGCTTGCGGCTTCGATCTCTCAGCCGATATCGAAAGGGAGAAGATTTTAGAAGAAGAGGTTGCCACTCTGCTTTCCAATGAAGGTGATTCTTCCAGTGGCTCCGAGAGTGGAGGAGACAAAGTTGAAGTCTCCGAGGATGAGGCTCTCGAAGATGCGACTACCGAAGATGTGACTTCGAAGTAGTCTTAGGTTTCCTTATTTTGTTTTTGTGCAAGTATCCTTTGTGTAAATATTCCTTGTAATCATCCTTTGGAAATACAAGAGGAACCTTTTATCTCATTTTTGACTTGTGCTGGATTTATGGAATACTTCTTTTGCATAACTTGAATTATTAGTCCGAGAATTGGCTTGGGCTTGGGAATAAACCCTTAGATCTTTATCGATAGGTATAATAATCCTTGAGCCAAGTTTAAGTCGATCCGATGCGAACTCGAGATATCGTGGTCCTTGAGCCCTGGAAGAGTGAGAATGGAGTCTCGTACAATATGTTTTTGGCCTTTAAGCCTTTCGAAGTTGGCCCTTGGGCTCCCATATATCGGCCCTTAGGCTCTTTAAGTTGGCCCTTGGGCTCTTATATATCGGCCCTTAGGCTCTTTAAGTTGGGCCAGTTCGGCCTCAAGAATGGCTACATAATTTTTTCCTAATTTTGGCCAAAAGACTTAGTGAAAATTTAACTATGCCTTAGCATGTGTTTTTTGTACCCGTTGGGTTTTTCGAAGGTTCGATGTATCGGGACCTTGTTTGCGTATGGATAATTGAATACCTCTTGAGGTTTTTTTGAGGGCTGACGTTGTCGAAGCCTTTAAATTATTTGAGGGCGGAATTTATCGAAGCCCATTATATTTCACTTTTGCCGAGGGTAGCCTGATTTAACCGATTTTTCCAAAGTGTTTGAAGGCCTTTAATTTATAGCGGAAGTCGGACATCTCCGAGCCGCGTTATTTTGGCCGTAGCCTTTATATGACCGTAGTCTTTAGCATGGTCGTAGCTTTTGGGTATGTCACTTGGACTTGTTTCGCGATAACTTTCCTAACTTGTTCGAAAAGTTAGTCCCCGAGTATATTGGCCTTGGCTTTTGTTTCTAAGGGGTGCCTCTTTGAGGTCTTATGAGTCCGAATTTTCGATGACTCAGATGTACCGTCTGTCGACGACAGTCCCCGAGTATTCGGGGGTGCTTTTATGCTTTGGCTCTTGAGCCGTTTCCCATAGAATTATAAGTGTAGAGTTCGTGTAATAGTAGACTTCTTTGAGACACAAAATGTTTTTGATATTAACAAAATGCTTCTTCAAATAATCGATACATGCGTACATGCTTTTGCTGTCGGGGCTTGATTATTCTATATGGACACGGTTCATGTGACTGTTTGGCCCATTACAAAGTTTTCATATCGAGCCCCTCTTAGGCATGAAGTATTTTACTTGGAAATATGACCTCCGAGGGTGATGCCCCCCCAGTATTCGAGGTTGGTTGAAGAGAAGCCTTGGATACTGTTCAGTTTTCCCAAGGTAGCAAATAGTTTGGCCTCGTTAAAAACCTTGCCGATAAAACCCATTTGGGACAAAGCCCAAGCTAAGAAAAAAAGAGTGCAACGTATGCTTTAAAACCTAAAGCCTTCGTGTAAAAAGGTGAGTCTTCGAGATCGCGCGCCTTTGAGAACTTCCATCGTGCTGAGCTCGTAAGATCCTTCACCAACGACTCCGAGGGCTCTATTTGGTCTTATCTTGCTATTCGCGATCGCGATACCTTCAAAAACCTTGATTTGATCGGGGATGATTTTGATATCCCGATTTCGCACCATGACACCAAGAAACTTTCTCGAGACGACTCCGAAGACACATTTCTTTGGGTTGATCTTTGTGTCGCATTGTCTCGAAACTTTTAATGTTACCTACAAATTACATAAGATGGTCCTGTGCGCACAGGGACTTAACCATTCATATCATTGATATAGGCTTTCACTATTTTACCTGTATGTTCTCCGAACATCCCGTCAACTGGATGTTGGTACGTAGCTTCTTGGACTGAGGCCTCCCTTTTTGCTTCACTGGTTCAAACCTGGGATCGATGCTCAGCCTATGTGTGGTGACTTCCGTCGGAACCCCTGTCATATCTAAAAGGGACCAAGCAATGCAATCCATATTATCAATAAGAAACTAAATGAGTTCTATCCTAAGTTTGGGGGTTTATCCCGTCCCAGGTGTACCTTTCTCTTGAGCGGTTGACTTGGTGGCATCCGTCGAGGCTGGGAGCTGTGATTGTTACTTGGCCGCCTGCTTACCTTTAGGGCTTGATTCCTCCGAGGCCAAGGGTGCTGGTATCAGCACCACTTCCTCGATTGCAAACATTTCTTTTGCAGCATGCTGCTCCTCGTAGACTGTTTTCACTCCTTCCTCTGTCGGGAATTTCGTCATCCGGTGGAGGGTCGAAGGCACTGCCCTCATATTGTGTATCCATGGTCTCCCGAGGAGTGCATTATATCTCATGTCACCTTCGATGACATGGAACCTGGTATCTTGTATGGTCCCAGCTATGTTTACTAGAAAGATAATCTCTCCTTTTGTTGTTTCGCTTGCCATGTTGAAGCCATTCAGCACTCGGGATGCGGGTACGATCTGATCTTGCAATCTGAGTTGTTCCACTACCCTCGATCCGATTATGTTTGCAGAGCTACCTGGATCCACTACAACACATTTAACTTGAATTTTATTTAAAAGAATATAGATTACCAGGGCGTCGTTGTGAGGTTGGGATATGTTTTTCGCTTCCTTATCGCAGAATGACAGGACATCCTCACGCACATAGCTCCGAGTCCGCCTTTCTCTTGTGATCGATACTTTGGTGCGCTCGAATACTAGTCGTTAGGGGACGTCGACTCCTCCAATGATCATGTGGATTACATGTTGTGGTTCTTCTTGCTTGTTTTTCCTTGCATCTCTCTCCCTAAAGTGGTTCTTGGCTCGATCACTTATAAATTCTTGAAGGTGGCCTTTGTTGAACAATCGAGCCACCTCTTCCCTTAGCTGCCAGCAATCTTCTGTTCTATGTCCGTGCCTACCATGATACTTGCAAATAATGTTCGGGTTTCTTTGAGAGGGATCGATTTGTATAGGCCTCGATCACTTGGTGTCTTTGATCTTTCCAATAGCCGACACGATCCCTAATGCATCCATGCTAAAGTTGTACTCTGACAGTCGGGGAGCCTCAGCGGGGTCTGTGTGCTTGTCAAACCCACTCTTGCTCATGAGTCCCCGAGAACATTGGCCTCGATCGCTTCTCCATATCTCTTTGAGGAGTGTTACGGCTCGAGACGATGTTTCTTTAGTTGGTATATGGCTGATACTGTTCTTTGTTGAATCTAGAACCCCGATCTATGTCTCTTGGGGGCTTGGCTACGAATCTTAGGATGAACTCAACCCGAGGGGGCTCGCAATTGATCATCTTCGACCCTCATTTTTGACTAGTAACGATTGTGTATGTCTGACCACATCACAGCTGGATACTCAATCAAGTTCTCTTTATCTATCGAGAAGCAATTGAGCTTCACTCGTTCGAACCCTGCATGAAGGCCTGCACTGCCCAGTCATCCGAAACTGGCGGCAGTTCCATTCTTTCCATCTGAAACCTGGACATGAACTCCCTTAACATCTTGTCGTTCCTTTATTTTATTTTGAAGACATCTGACTTTCTCGTGGCCACCTTTATGGCCCCGACGTGAGCTTTAACGAAGGCGTCTACTAACATAGCAAATGAATCAATAGAGTTAGGAGCTAAGTTGTGATATCAAATCATAGCTCCTTTTGAGAGTGTGTCCCCAAACGTTTTCAACAACACTAACTCAATTTCATCATCATTCAAGTGATTTCCTTTGATCCCACAAGTGTGTGAAGTAATATGTTCGTTATAGTCGGTTGTCCCGTTATACTTGGGTACATCAGGCATGCGAAATTTCTTAGGAATGGGCTTCGGGGCTACGCTCTGAGTGAATGATTTTTGTATGAACTTCTTGGTATCTACACCTTTCAAAACTTGAGGTGCACCCGGTATCTGGTCTACGCGGGAGTTATAAGTCTCCACCTTCTTGTCATTATCCTAAATTTTCTTTTCTCTGAACTCGATCCTCTTAGAGAGCTCTTCGAGCATTATCATAATGGCGGGGTCAGTCCCTGACCTGTCTCCATTTGGCCCTTCCGGCATTGGTTCAGCACGTTGATTATTTTCATGCTCAGTTACACTCGGAGTCTTATTCTGACTTTGCAGTTGAGCGATGGCAATTTGCTGAGCCTGCAACATCTCAAATATCACCTGGAGACTAACTCTTCCATCTCTTGCTCCCGGCATTCCTTAATCCCTTGGTCGAGCATCCCTGCACACGCTCCCTTTGGGGTGTGTGCCTAGGCTAGTGTTTATAGCAATATGAGAACCAACATCAACTGGTTCCGCATTTTGTACTTCCCCAGGGTTTATTGGTGGTGCATTGACCCCTACATTATTGTTTTCTCCAAGACTCTCATTGTCATGAACGGGTGCATTTTATGAGTTAGACATGTTTCTGCCCGCAAATCAAAGATTATTGACAAGAAAAAAGTGTAAAGATAATGTGTGTAATGAGAATCAGTAAAGAAATAATCACTATTATCTTTAGCCCCACGGTGGGCGCCAAACAGTTTACCTCGAAAAATACGAGTAACAATTAAATTTGTTTTGTGGTTTTAAAGATATGTGTTTTGGTTCAATACCAATTAAGAATCAAGAAATATATAGTAGAAATGAAAGATAGAAGTGAATCAAACCAATGCGACTTGGCAGTAATGACCTCGAGTCGATGGCCTCGAGGTGGCTTAGGGCAGTAAGAACAATTAAGTAGAGAAATCAAAGTTTGAACAATTAAGCTAAGGGACAATTCTCATTAATAGCAGACAAAAAGTAGAGAGTATACCCTTTGCTCATTGAAAAAGGTGGTGTTACAAATGATTTGGACCCCTTTTATATAATAGGGGAATCCCAAATAAGGAATATTTTATTTTCAGCAGGGAATATTCTTATGACAGCTGTCTTAACCGCCTAGTACGGAGCTGCACGATCCTATTCCGGAATTTGTGCCATGATCTCAGGAACGTGGCAGGAATCTAGCTGGCTTCGGTACAAATCCATAACGGTATTATTTCAAGGTCGAGCACACTTG